GGGGGGGTCATCCATCCCGCAGATTGCATGCTGCTCCATGGGATGTGGGAGTCAACAAGGGGCCTGGAGCATCCAGAGGCTGCCCACACCTCAGTTACAACGTTCCCTGAAAATGGGGCAGCCATTACATGACCACACAGAGAGCAACGCGAATTTTCCCTAGCATTTTCTCCCCTTTAAAAAATGAAAGCTTAAAATTTGCTCCGTTTCTTACTTTTCTAGAATGGTGAGCATGCCAAATATAGGGGGAAAGATGAATGCCACCCTATCCCACCACCAGTGCATGAGTGGACGTGCCTGGTGTGTGTGTACACAGATCTTTGGGCCTCATCTAGTTCTCTCCTTCTCACAAGCACCCAGCAGCAGCAAGCAGGTTTCCCTCTCTGTGCTTCCTGAAGGCTGGATCCAGGGCAGAAGCCAGTCGTTCTGCATCTAGACTGAGCAAGGGCTACTCAATGAAAGGGCTGCATACCCGGCCGGCTTTTGTCTTCCATATGGATAGTTTCCCATGCCATTTCCTGGCAGACAGTGGCCCTGTATATCCACAGGTTAATCCACACAAGAAGGCTGTTCCTGGTCAGACTTTCTCTTGTCCTTGCAATGCACAGGTCATCCCAGGTCATCCAATGAGGCAGAAATACAGTTTGCAATTTTGCCTTGCTCTGCTATGGTCTTATCTGTGAGGTGGCATAACATACAGATTAGCAGCCTGTTTTCATGATAATTGATTGAGACATCCAGGGCCAGATATGGGGCAGGTGAGATATTGGATACTAACCTTGGAAGAGTGTCAAATCTAAGCCACCTGTTTGCATGAAATAGTATACAGAATTCATGGCCACCCTTTTGTTGTTGCTGTTTTAAATTCAAGAACCCAGTGTACATGTGAATGTCTGAAATGTCATCGATGCCATAAAAATAACCAGACATAAATATTTCCCTTTTGGGAGATTCATTTTGCTCTTTGTCATTAGCAACAAAAGGGAAAAGATCAAACTAGATTTTTTCAGAAATTCCACATGTGGCTTAATTTCTCAGTAAACTCTTGGAAACTTCCAGAGTCTTCCTAAAACCCACAGACATGTTCCTATGTATTTTATATTAAGTAACTGTGGAAGTTAATCCTGAATACATTTAGGGAGTTTGCCAATGGCCGTTCTTAGCAGTCTCTGGGTTGTCCCTTTTGGGACTTTGTGACTCCTGTAAAATGAAAAAAGGGATTTATGTTCATGATTATTAAAAAGATGGCCTAAAAGTGTACATCATTTTGTATCTATAATAGTAATTTCATCTGTGTTCCTTCTCCTATTTCCTGGTAAGGGCTTAGTACCCATTCCGATACCAAACTACTATGGTGTATTTTGGATAGAACTGCATGGGCCAGGCATTTACTACATTGTCTATCTGCTGCGTATAGAAAATGCATGCAGCTTTTTCCATCCGTTGTAGCTTGGAAACAAGGGGCTAGAACAATGATGGCGTTAGAGAACAAATTTTCATATTCATCTCTCATCCAAGCAGCATGAAGTCTCAAATTTCTACATTAGATTTGCCTCCTTATTACAGTCACATAGACAGAAGTCTGTCTTCATGGCCTCAGTGCACTTACCAGAAAGAATGTGGAGAATCATTCCATTCTGCACATGGACAAGAAACAAACAAACCATTTCTAGGACAGCAACACAATTTACCAATCATCAGTGGAAAAATGAAGTCCCAAGTTGCTCCACTTAAAGACCAAACTAGACATGGTATCCATTGTCTGAATGCAATGGCTGCAAACACTTTCTTTTGTACAAACAGCAGCCTGGGGAAACCTGGGTAGCCAAAGAAAGCTTCCCCTGGAATTCACATTGTAGTTTAGTATGTGAGCATTTGTGGAGGGGAGTGGCAGGGAGATGGAGAATCAACATCCCACCCTGTCCTGCTCTAGTCCAGGGGTTGCTCAGCTTCCCCCAACAGAACCAAAGTATGTGCACATTCTCTACATCATTGGAATTAATGGCAGATCAAAGTTGGCAAGCTCTCCCATCAGAAGAAGTACAAAGCACCTTAGGGTGTTTAGTCATGAGGATGAAAGTACTTTTACTTCAATCACTTTTTAATGCAAATAATAGCATCTACTTTAGCTACTTATTTGCATTAGAAATGCCTCTTGCCCTGTTTATGCTTCTTCATAAACAATGATCAGATAAACATAACATAAATAGCAGACATGGGCTCAAAGATGATTTCAGATTTAAGAGTGAAAATACATTTGGATGTCTCATTAGAAATAACATTATGAAGAACATTAATCTATTAGTTGTTTGACAAATCAGTCTGAGCTATGAACCCTCTGGAAAATCTGCAAGAAGGTGCAGTGCGTAATATGTGAGTTTTTGCTGTGGGACATATTTATGTGCATAATGCTGGAGTTGAAATAGCACAGGGAAAAGAAGTTAGGCAAGAGAAAGTACTAAAGAGTTGCTTTCCATGAGATTTGTACATTCAGGGGCATAAGAGACAGCACCATGACAGATATTTAGGCCAAATTCACTGTTGGATCATAGAATCGGAGGGCTCTTGTCCAAATAGACCAAGCCCCTGCGGAGCATAGGAAATGGAGAGCTAGATAATTCCCATCTTATGGCAGCCTGGATTCTGTTTCAATAGCTCCTGTGGGGAAAGGCCACCACCATGTGGCTACTGGTTGTATTGTCCAACTGTTCTTATCATCAAGAAGCTTCTTCCGATGTTCAACCAAACCCTATTCTCCTGCAACATAAGTCCATCAAATCTAGGACTGCCAGATTTACACTGGACCAGTAGCACTGATGGAGTGCACTTCCCTATTCCCTCTGTGACAAACCACTACTTCGGATATACATTCACAGTGGCCCCAAGAGCATCTGGCCGGTTGGCACGCTGCTAGGCAACCAGATTAATTTCATTTAGCCTCATCCTGCACTGTAGTCCTCAAAAATTTTGGAAGTTACAGGACTCTTTTCCTGTCTAAGCAACCTGTCTATAGAAACAACCTAAGGCATGTTTCTGTAGAAGAACGTTCTACAGTCCCCAGAGAACTCTCCAGCCAGCCATACTGTGGGACTCATTGGCTGTGCTGTAGGGGCTCTAGGACTTTTTCCTGACTAAACATGCACAGAATTGCATGGTTCACTTGTTATTTCTTTATTTTTACCATAAGGCATGGGTCCTCAAACTACGGCCTGGGGGCTGGATCCGGCCCGCCATGCCCATTTGGACTCGCCGTGCGCCCGCACCTGCCCACTGCTGCCCACCTCGCCCTGTGCGTGGGGAGGCAACGGTTTGCTCACTCGGAGAAGATGATCTCCATGCGAGCAAGCCGCTGCCTCATGCGCCTGCCTCATGATGCATGCTCGCTTTGCCCCCCCACCATGCGCGTGCGCCCACCCGCACCTTGCTTCCCCTCACCGCACACCCCGTCCCTGTCTCAGTGCATGCGCCCACATGTGCTGCCCCGGCCCGCGCCGGCACCACCTTTCTGGCCCATGCCCAGCACCGGCAGCTTTCAACTGGTTAAAAAGTTTGAGAACCCTGCCATAAGGGATGGAGAAGGGCGCTTGTGCGATTTTGTGTTTCGTGGTTCAAAGAGACCTTGCTGACTTTGGCACTAAGCATTTATTTCTGCCTCAGGTCTGATGCTTAACTTTTGTTTCCAGCAGTTGCTGCTCCTTACCTCCTTGGAGAAATAATGAAAGAATTTACTGACACTGCTATTAACTTAAATGCTACTGTATTTGTGAATGTAAAGAAACAGCACCACTTGGAGAAATCTATTAAGTCATTGGTTCGATTGTTATTTTTAGTACACTCAGAGCACTTGCCAGGAATTCCGTTTAAGTTCCTGGAAAGGTTAAATTAGTAATGAGTATAAGCAAAATTGTATTCCACTTGCCTTGCCTGAAAATCTTTGTCTGTGCTGTAGCGGGTATAGTTCAGGATACACATTTGAGATAAACCACTGGAAACTTTTGCATCCCAATCTCTTTTGCAACTGAACACGCTCAGTGCAGTTTAGCTTCTCAGCCTGTTGAGAGTACATGAAACAGAGACACTGTTATATTCTCTTATATTTCTTCAATTATCTGAATTAGCAAGTCATACTCCAGTGAGGTTCTATTTCCAGCACTCATTAAATAGTGCAACTTAATATTACTGTTGTTTTGCATAGAATTTAAAAAATGCAACTTCTCTTGTTAACTGCATACATACAAATATTTTGGATTATGTGATTGCCACATCAGTATCAACATGCTTATATCTGATAAAGAATATTTAGTGTATATAACCTGCAAAGTATTCATGGCTGTGCTCCTGTTAAGTGAATGAACAAGGCCATTGTGGTTCTCTGTTCCTCAAGGCAGGTTGGGAGAAGCTTAGACTTTCTCTTAGAATCACAGTTGGAAGCAACCTTTAAGGTCACCTAGTCCAACCCCTCTTCAGTACAGGAACTCCAAAGCTACAGGATCTCTGACAGGTGGCAATCTAAGCTCTGCATTTTTGCATTCCCTGTTGTCTGCTTGTATTTTCCTCCCTGTTCCTTTCACTTCTCCTCCGTTGAGCAGGTCTTCCAAATCCTTCCACGCCAAAGAGGATTAGATCTATATCCTCTGAGTTGTAACTATGGGAGCCTCTTCAGCAATTCCTACTCTGCAAACATCTGAAGATCTGGCCATGTGAAAATGCTCATACCAAGGCTCCTCCCTGTGCAATGTTGCTCAAGTTCCTAGTAGAGCAACATGGCCAGTCTCTCTTCCCACATATATTGGATCTTCAAGGAACAGTGAAGCAGCACAGCAAGATCACATGTTGAGACCATTTCCTAACCTTAAAGCTCAAACAGGGCTGTCAGAGGTCATAACTGACTATTACATTTTATAATTTTTAAAGAATCAAAACCTAATTCCTGTTGTCATCTCTGTTGAATTATACTAGTCACTAGGATGCTATATTATGTTTTCATATGATTGAAACTGTTTCCCTAAATTTTTAAGCAACTGGCCTGTGGACTCCGAACATGTACCCACTGCTACATGTACAAAGTTAGGAAAGGGTATTGACCAGACAGTACCCCAGGATGAATCGTGCTTGTTAGTATCAATACTGCCATGTGAGTATTGGAGTATTGGAAATGGATAAAGCACCCAGCTAAAACCTGGAGCTCTCCAGATGTTTTGAAGCATAACTCTCATTGGTCATGCTGATGTGAATTGAAATCTAAAACATCTGGAGGGCACTAGATAGAGGAAGGTAATCCAGAACAATCTCTGCTTTGTATCCAGTCCAACCATTTGTCTACTACAAAAAGTAGAATTGTACTGTCAAGCTACTAGTTCTTCGTATTTTTCAAATAAAAGCATTTGTAGTCTACATGAAATTTGTGAAAATTGCATAAATGGTTGCAATGGCGCTATCTGCAGGGAACTTCTTGGATAAAGGTTCCATTGAAAGGAATGAGGAAAAAAGGGTGTGAGAAAAAGGAAGAAAGGCTTCTGCTAGACTGAAGCTTTCCAGCAGTGCACCAAACAGGCATTATGGAACCATTCTGTCTTCTCTTCCTCCTCCTAACAGATTTTTTTCTTCTGGGAAGGAGAAAGGCAGAAGATGCAAAAGGAAAACAGGAGAGGGTTACAAAAGGAAGATGGTTATGCCTGGACTGCCTATAAAATCTCCTGTTAGAAGTAGCTCATTTGCAGGATAGAAACTTTATTTGGGAACACCCAAGGAAAAAGAAGGAAACATGAAAAAGACTTACTCGGAGATACATTGTGTAACATTCATACAATTGCAGATATTAGCTTAGCTCTCTCTTTCTCTTTTACCTGACTAATCAAACAAGCCAACTTGTCTTGCTTGTAAAAGAGATCTTTAAATGAATCCAACCAAGTCTCAGCTATTCGTATTTTGTTCCTCTTGACTGCTCCTTCATCACGAAAGCTGTATGATGCAGCAGCACGATAGACATGCCCCACACGTGAGCAGGGAAGGATTTCAACAGTTCCACCACAAAGCCAGGCCTGCAACATGTGAACGTCATGCAGATAAATCTTTCAAAAATCAAATACAGTCATTAATTGTTCTGAGCTATTCAACGAACGGTAGTTCCCCTTGAAATTCCCAAAAGGTTATTTAGACCAGGCTGAGCAGAAAGTAGATCTCCTGATGTGTTGGACTTAAACCCCTAACATTCCTGACCACTGGCTATGTTAGCAGGAGTGTCTGGGTGTTGAAGTCCAAAATGTTTGGAGATCTACTTTCCAGCCACCTCTGCTTTAGATTTCTGTGTTTCAAAGCAAATTTTAAAAATCTGATTTTGTGGAATATAGCTCCACTATGTATACGGGGTTTTGGGGAAGGTTTTCACACCTTCATCATGCAGAGCTGTAAACCCTCAAAGTACTCATTTTTATTTTAAAATCAGTTTTGGATAGAATTCAGAGACCTAAAGTCCAGAGTTTTTGAAGACAAATGATTTAACAAATTTGCCTTGCAAAGGCCACCAACCTGCTGACATTTTTTGGAGGCATCATTTTCCCACAAAGTGTTATGTATAAGCATTACTACCAAACAGAGAGGAAGATTTTGGTCTCACATGCTTACCTTTATAGATAATTCAATATTTTCACCACCTTGCAAAGTCATGTCAGAATCATAACCCCCTGTGTTTTGGAAATAATGTCGGTCCACTGCTACTACTACTCCAGGTACTGCAGGACTCCTAGAGAATGTTTATATTTTAGTGTTATTTCTTTTCCTCCTGATTTTGAACATTCTAAACTGTAGAATGGCAGCAAGAGAGACTTCTCTCTCAAGATTATTGGTAAAATCAGTGAGGTGATGGGTCTGATTCAGAGAAGCATGAGGCAGAACTCTGTGAACTGGATGATTCTGTTACAAGCGGGGTATGGATGTCAGGTGGGGATTTTCATTGGTTCACCTCCCTGCTGCGACCCACAAAATCTGCTCTGCATGGTTGGGGGTCTTTGCAGAACAGCCCTGTGAGACGGTATTCAAGGCAGAAGAAGATATCATTGTAAAATACTTACCTGTCCCTTTCCTTCAGTCAGTGCCTTTGCTAAATCTCTGTTTTCTTCACCAATGGAAAGAGACCTTCCATTGATGGGGAGTCACGTTTGGATGCAATCCAGGGTTTATAAATTTGCCTATCGCATTGGTATCCCTTCCTTCCGCCCAACAATCCTGTAAGGTGGCTAGGCCAAGGAATGCTGCTTAATCCAGAATCACCAAAGGAGCTCCAGAGTAAGTTTAGATTTGCATCCAGGTGTCTCCATTCTAAGCGCTGTGATACTGAATGTAGCACAGACAATTCAGTGTGATTAACTAACAAGGCAAAAACCGTCCTAAGAACCCATGGCTTGTTACTGGGTTGTTGAGGGCGGCTTGTCATGATGTCCATATCCAAACCTGTTATGATGGCTTCTCCCAAGCAGCTACAGAGATGGCTGCAAAGAGCTGCAAAAACTTCTAGTGATCATCCTTGGACCACCTCTGGTCTCCTTCCTCCCCCATTAGTGCAGTTTTCCAACAATAAACAAATGACACCTGGGAATGTTCTGAACACATCTGCCACTCCCATCTCCCCAAATTTCTTCAAAGTGAATTGGTAATTTCCTCCTACTCTCCCCCACAAATCCTGCAAGCTGTCAAGTGATGTGCCAAAGATGCAATAAGGAATTCACAGGGAAATTGACAGGTTGATTGTACTACTGCAGAGTGTAGTTGGTGGATGGATGAACCTGTGCACTTGTGAAGCAGGAGGTAGAGAACAAAATGATTGCTTTGCAAAGGGGTTGTGGTTGGTGGTGGGGAGCCAATAAATGCCCACTTATCATTTGCATCCTCTCATATTGCCCCCTGAACTGACACTTTCGTGCATCCCTTGGCCTTGAACTCTGAAATCAGCAGCTGCATGGGATACAGCTATGGGAGCATGTGGGTGTACTTACTGTTGGAATATTCATACTTATTGCAAAAATGTATTTGTTTTTCATTCTGTCCTGTGCAAATGTGTACTTGTGAGGACAGAAAAATAATTATTTGTAAAAATGAAGCAATTTTTGCCATAAGCTCACCATACTCCTGCGGAGCAATGTGAGATGATAAGTGAACAAGCAACTCACACAACTTATTCTTGGCGTGGCTTATCGTGACATATGAAACAGCTCAATCTGAATCAAGGTACATCTTTTAATTGCAAATCACCTTTTCATTTGCACTAAGGCCAGTTTGGTTATCTACCAAGCATTGACACTAAATCATATCTAACATAGTTTCTGGTTACTTAAATATCTCCCCCTACTGCTTTTTAAAACACACCAATTATTGTATATGCAACTGGCTCAAGTATCTTGCATGCTAGACCATAGACACTGTTTCTTCCCAAATGAAGCACTGCTGGAAACAGAAGGGGTTATTTTGAGGGGGGGAATCAAAATATTCCCCCAGGTATGGATATCCGTTTCAGCTCCAGCAGCAAAGTGCAGAAATTTTAACAGATTCTTAAGCAAGAGAAGCAGCTGGCAAATCATTACCTGATGGGACTAACGGGAGACTCTCGTGCCTTCTTTTCATATTCCGGCAGTGGCTTCCAGTGAAAATCTAACTTCCAGTCAAAAACTCCTCTTTGCAAATCCATGGAGTGATAATACTGAAAGGTCTTCCAATCAATTACATCTACGACAGGAGAGACAATCCGTCTTCTGGAAAGGAATTAACATCTCATTCTTTTCAAAGTTAACTTGTGAAATGCAGTAGAAATGCATTTATTAAATGAATTTATTAAAGCTATGCTGCTAGCTCTAGAGCCCTTAGTGGGGTAGCACATTTTAGGGTATGTACACTTCATTGGAAAATAACACACACACACACAAAAGAACATTTAACATGAAAGACCATTCAGGGTGCAATGCTATACATATTTAGAGAAAGAAAAGATCTACAATTCCCACCATAGGATCATGCCCTTAGTTTTGACACCAGGTTATTTCAGGATAATTTCTGGCAGGCTTCTGCGAATGTTAAACCTTAGTAATCATTTTTATCCATGTTGAACTTAGGATGCATCCTAATATCTGCATTTCAGGTGGCAATGTTCATACGCAAGATGAACAATGTATTCCAGAGTCTTGTCTTAAGCACAGAAACAAGCAGTAAGTATCAGAAAACAAGCAGCTGTGTTAAAACTTACATACATATTTTTGCTTCCTCCTTCCCCACAGCCTTGGTAGGGATAGACAAACTTGTTGTTTTTCCTATTTTTCTGCCCATTTATGAAGAGCTTGCACATTTGCGGAAATTCTTCCCATAAAAACAAACTGAACAAAATTCTTACTTATCTACACTGGACAGATTCAATTGCTATAGAAAGGACCACGTGTACTTCCCTGACATGGAGCTTTTAAGGAAAATGAGGCTGTTTGAGAAAAAAATAGGCAACCCTAAAGCAGTAGCACAAACATGGCCAGATTTGTAAGATGCACACACAGATTGATGTCACTGTATTTGTGAATGTCAGCACTCATGTCCTTTCTATCCCCATTTGTAGAGAATTACATATTTTTCAAAGTTCTTATAGAAAACAAACTGAACAAAATTACCACCCATCTCTAGCCCTGGGTAAGAAACTGTCACTAGGCTTCATCCATATCAAACCATTATTGTGTGTGCAGGAGGAGGCAAACCAGATTAATAGGCCATGACGTTTGCTTTCACATCACTGCTGAATCATTGAGCATCACGCAGAGGCTCCATAATGAAGTTCAAAAATCCTGCATCTCTTCAAAGATCACTGAAGCATAGTTATCGACACTGGATGTGGGGAAGGAAGGCTGGGAGGCTTTACGGTGACGATGGTGTGAAACGTTTCAGGAGGATGGCCGTCAACCTCCTCTTCACTACCGCTGTGCCCCCTTCAAAGGCAACACTTGATTGATTTGGACCAGTGCCACTCAAACATAATGTGAAGAACATTTCATTTTCAGATGGAGTAACATGGGCCCTGCAGGCTGTCTAGCCAGCTGCTTCTTCTTGCCAGTGGTGCTGGCTGGACATAGAGGAAGAAGACAAGACCTGGTACAGGAGCTGCCACAGGGAAAAGGAATATGAATACATTCTTTTTTATTTGTTCAGCATTTCTTGTGTAGCACTGTCAAGGGCTAGAAGTGTTCCATGGCAGAGGAGATGGGGAAGCGAGTCTGTTTCTGCACGTACTTAAATCTGGATTCAACACACAGGATGCCACCAGAAAATGTTCAGAGAATATCATACCATGGTATCTGCTTTCCAGGGTTCTCTAAGAAAGATGAATTCATTCATTTTTCAAAATCAATTACCCACTAAGAAAGGTATTATAAATCATTAGCACAAAATTGATAATAGTGCCAGATTCCCATGGTTTATTGTTAAGAATGGATTGTAAATTGTTAAGAAAGGATTAATTGTCAAGAAAGGAAGAGCAAGTAAATGCATTTTAATCTTGTTCTCAGTATGTCATTTGGCAAATTTCTAGTAAGTTATTGCAATATTATAGCTGAAAGAACATTGGAACAAAAACTGTAAAGTTAGGACAAAATCTTTGCTGGCCTAGATGAACACAATTCAATGGTAATCAAATCAACACAATCAACACAATACCCATTCCAGTGCCATCCTTTATGTTCAGAAACAAGTCTCATTGCATTCAAGGGGATTTGTGCTAGGTAAGTGTATATGGGGCATACAGCTTTTAAGATTCAGACTCCAATTTAAGTAAAAATATTATGGAATTCTTTAAGCATAAGCAAATATTAGCTGGTGTGTGTGTGTGTGTGAAAGAGAGAGAGAGAGAGAGAGTTTATAGGAAAAAAGAACATAGATGATTTTCAAGCTGGCTGTGCTCTCCTGCTTCTTCATTTGCACTAAGGTGCTTCTTTTGAGAACATCCGTTTTTGTCATATTCACCAAAGGATGAAATCCTTTCATTGTAAATTTACTACAGAGGAAGCCATTTCCAAAATAAAATAATAAGGAAGTTGGAAGATGGTTCTACAATCTCTTTCATTTTTGTGTAAAAATGGGCAGACAATCGACAGTTCCTCGGCACTTTGAAACGGAGCGTGCAAAATTGGTCTATAACTTCTAATGTTAGCCTTTGCAGTTCTGGCAAACTAGAGGGGAGGTGGCATAACTGACCCTTTAAAAGCACAAATCTCAAAATGCCACTGACAAATCTGGTTTCAACAACAGACTAGAATTACTTGCTTTGGAAAACATGAACATAATGAAAGGACACTTTGCCTTCTTCTTCTTCTTCTTTGATAAAGCTGGCTTCCTGTTTGGGAGTTTTGGGAAGTGAAAAAATAATTGCCAACAACATGCCCTCCCATGACTCTTTACATAAACATGAACCCTGTGCCGTAAACATGGAAGTCTGTAATAAATATCAGAGTTAACTGAGTCATCTGTTTTAAGCTCAAATACATGCTGAAAGGTGTCACTGATCTATGTAACAGCCTTGAAGAGACAAGAAATATGCTTTGATAAAGTACTATTGTCCGATCTTCTTTCAAAGAGGAACTGTTCACATAGAACTGAAATGGCTCTGGCATGCAGATTGTCAAAACCAGATGCAGCTCACATTTCAGACAGCCTGACCACATCCTGGAGAAACACGGAAGGCCGAGCTTTTGTAGGATCTCTTCCATGGCAACACATTGCAAATAAATGCCTATCATGTGCAAATGAAAGCAAAAACACAAGCAAAGGGACTATAGCACCAAAAATAACAGCAGTGACAAAAAGCAAAGGAAGGCAGTATCAAGGAAATGTTGATTGACCATGCATTAAAAGCAAGAAATTGCCCAGTGCAAGTTCTACTTTACAAAAAGCATTTTTCCATAATGCGTCTGTTGATAATGGCACAGTTATAGTTCATGGCCCACAGCTCACCTCCTCTCCTTACTTTCAAAGGTTTGATCAGCCTCTGGCATGAGCTTAGGTGCTCAGCTGATTAAAGAGTACCGCAGGTACAGAAGTCTTCATTTACCAGACCTAACAGAGTGGGACTCCAAGCAGCATGTTTTCAGGGATCCTGTTTTCCCCACCTTTGCAGCTGTCAGACTATAGCATGAGATTTTCAAGAGTTAGCACATTAGCCATTGTATTTACATGCCTAGTGCTCTATAACTGGATGCCAGAATGGAAATACACATTGGTCCGCTGTCCCAGCAATCCACCTGCCAGCTTTCATTGCTCCAGAAAGATCAGAAGTAACCATCAAAAATTCCTTCAGGGGAAAATGAGTTGAAGTTGGGAGTTTCTAGGACAGGAGCTCAGGGCCAAGATGCTGGGCTCCAGGGATGTTAGGTGCCATCAAATTATCTCCCACTTACAGTGTATCTGCCCTGTGAATGAGTGTCCCATCAAAAAGTCCTGTCCTTGATAGTCCTGCTCAGCTCTTGTAAACGCAAGGCTATGTTTTCCTTGATGGAGTCAGTCCAACTGTCTTTAGTCACGCTCCCAACCTTAACACATACAGCAGGGCTTCCTAGCTGAGGGTTAGGCTTAAAAAATAGGGTTGGCATGCACTTAACATGTCCTGATCTTGTTGAACCCAGTTCTCCACTGAGAGCTTTCTGTTTCATCAAGGAGAGCATTAGGATTGGGACAAAGTGAAAGAGGAGAGATGTCTGACCTTCCAAGTGGAATATCTAATCCTATTGTGTGTGGAGGGAGGGGAGAGGCAGAGGGAGAGAGCGGGGGGTGGCGGGGAACAGTTCAGGCAAAATGCTTATTCTGTATCCTCCTGAACCATCTCTCAGGGTGTTGTAAAGAAGAAGCATGAATTTTTTCAGGGGGGAAAATGATGTGTAACAAGTATAAAACATGATTAAAACATCTACTTGTTGCCTATTCTTTGCTGCTCAAACTGTGTCTCATAAGTGAATTAATGCATTCATTTAGAAAGTCTGAGGTTGCTTACTTATAAATGTTTTATAAGTCTTGGAAATATGAGATCCAAAATATGTTGATGCAACAAGCAAGTCTGCACTTCCCCTCTACCACAACCGCCTGCAAATGCTTGAGGACTAATGTAACAAAAATAGATGCTTCTGCTGCATTCAGCTTATACAATCAACCACAGCACATCATTCATTCTCCTTGCATGCATTATGTTAGTTGTTCTCATAGATTATTTTGTTTTCCTTTTTCTCGTGTGTCTATATAGTGTGGAATAATTAATAAACACAGTATGAGGCCTTTTTTCTTGTCAAGGAGCTTCCTACAGTTTTAATTTTCTTTTATTCAGTCCTTAGTAAAACAGACACTTTCTTGACTGAACTGAGAGCAGATAATGTACACAAAGCAGTTCTAGAATATGGTATTCAGCTGTTGCAAAGGGGCTTGTCAGTAGGTTGCATACTCAATCCAACAACCACAAAATATTATCTAAATAACACCCAGGAAACTGCAGCAAAATGTAGGCAGTGCTCCTGTTTAGCCATGCCCTTTTCTAGGGCACTCCATTCCATCCCATTTTCCTTGCAATGGTCACACAGCTTTCTAGAATTGCTGGGCATGTCCAGTTCTTTGTAGCTTGGCTGCTGTTGTGTGTTTATTTGAGGGGGCTTCTCCACTCGCGTGTTTTCAAAAGTTGTTTAATACTTTTACAAAACGTCGGGTTCCCCTTAGTCCGCTGGTCTCTCTATCTTGCATATATATGGTGCCAGTTTGGCTGCATGAGGACTGACACTCGGGAAGCTGAGATCAGTATTCATACATACAAGTATGAATGTTTGTGTACAAGTTTGTTGGAATCTGCAACAAAACTTTGCAAGGGATACCATTTCAGGCTGTGCATTGCAATGCTCTGTTGGGTTGCAGGTTTCAGTTAAGGCTGGGATTGGGATCAGGGTACATGGCAGAAAGTAATCAGTACATGGACCTCTCCAAGGGATGCTGGGGCTGGACACCAGGCAGGATTGTCTGAATGCCACTTCAGCAAAGGGTAGAACCAGACCAACACTTAAGTAGGATGTTACTGGTTAGCTCCTCCTCCATAGCTGCCCCCAAGGTTCCTCTGGAAAATTAGGCTGTAGGGAGACAGGAGCCTCATGATGCATTTCCATGGTCGAGTCTTTCCTGACTGACTCTGGAGCCTTTTCTGAGGATGAGGAGCCTGAATCCTCTTCAGAGGATGGCTTTGGATGCAGGTCCATGACCTGTAGCGCTACTTTCTAGCATTCTAGTCAATCCGCCATGCCCTGTTCTGGCAAACTCCATGCCATCTTCCAAATTCATTTTCTGTCACTCTCCAAAGAGACAGTGCTCCATGCCTCTTTAGGGTTGATTTTTTTCCCCTAAAGGTTTGACATACTTCTACAAACTTGAGGGTTCTCACAAGCAGCCCAATGCTGCTGTCTTGCTTGTGGGTGGTGCTGTTTTGCAGACAAAGGGAGCTACAGTGGTGCCTCGGCTCACGAGCGCCTTGGTTCACAACCAAATCGGGTCATGAACAAAAATTTCATGAAAGTTTTGACTTGGGTCGCGAACTCCGCATTGGGTGGCAACCAAGATCGTGGCCATCTCCCCACCCCTGAGTGGGGAGATGGCCACAATCGCAGTTGCATTTGTGCAGGGAAGACGTGCGTGATCACGGGCGTGCTCCTGCAGGAAAGATGGGTGCAATCTCGGCCATCCCTCCCCCGCAACCAGCACGATCACGGCCATCTCCCCCCCCACCTGAGTGGGGAGATGGCCACAATCACAGTTCAGTTCATGCAGGGAGCTGACGACAGAAGAACTTGCTGAACTCCAGAGTGAGCAGCAGAAGGCACTTGCTGAGTAGGATTCCACTGAGGAAGAGGAAGACAGGGAGGAGGTGAACAGTGATGTGATACTATCCATTATGAAAAAATGGAATGAGTGCCAGGATTTCTTTGAGAAGCACCATCCCAACATAACTGTAACAAACAGAGTGTTGAATCTTATGAACGATAACGTGGTCTCTCATTTCTGAAGGGTTATGCAGTGCAGGAAAAAACAAGTGACTATAGACAGATTTTTCACCAAAATTGACCCTGCAGTTAAGAGACAAAGAAGAGAGGAAACCCCTGAAGGAGATCTCCCCGATGTCCTTATGGAGGGGGACTCTCCCTCAAAGCAATAACCTCCCCCCCCCACCTAGGTTAGTGTTCTCCACTGTACAGGACTTTGTTACTTTGTTGTTTTTTGTCACTTTGTTTCAAAATTTTCTGATTAAAAAAAAATAATTACAGAAGGGATTAACCTTATTTACATTGAACCTTATGGGGAAATTTGACTTGGCTCCCGACCAAAAATTGGCTCACAACCCCACTGGAGAGGCCAGAACGGATTAACCTTATTTACACTGAATCTTATGGGGAAATTTGACTTGGGTCACAACCAATTTGGGTCACAACCAGAGTCATGGAACGGATTAAGTTCATGAGCCAAGGTACCACTGTACTTGGGGAATTGTGGTTCACTATTAGTATATAATGGCTAGGAAAGGGAAATATATAGACCTATATATTTAAATTTTAAGGGAAACATGTTTATTAGCATGTTGGAAAGTATCAGACTTTCTCATATAATATTAATGTGGGGAAGGGGCACTTGCCGGGGAGAACTGTTGAGGGTTTTTTATTTTCCCAACAGCTAGGTTCTGAAACTGGGAGCAAATCCAAACTGGAAGCAAATCCAGCTGAAGGGAAAACAGCCAGTAAGACATTTGCAGAATTGGCAAGCATGGAAGGGTTAAGCAACTTCCTTTCCTCTGTTCCCCCCTCACCATATCATGCTTCCACAGTCCTGTCATCTCGGCAAATGATAGTTTGGGAACACATATTTGTGAACTTCCCAGAGCTTTGGCTATTGAGTAGCATATAAGTAAATAAATATTTATGAAGATAAAGCCTGGTTCTACCCAGAGAAATGAGGTGAGCCATTGCCAATGCTCATCTGAGTTTTCATCACAGACTTATGGAAATCTGAGTACCACGATCTATACCACTGTCCAGGCACCACAGCGTTTCATGCTGGAGCCATCCAACTGTTGCAGCAGTTAGGATGAAAGGAATGGCGATTTACCTGTCACTTGCTACTCTGTTCAGCAGAGGTTCTAGCCAGCCTCTGTGGCACTCGCAGTGGGAGTCCATGAAGATGACAACATCGCCAGCAGCTCGTGCAGCACCAAGCATGCGACCTCGGACAACCCCTAGTCTTTTGTTGCTCCTAATCAATTTCACACCTGCCAACTTGGCGATGTATTCACTCAAGGATGACTTCAGATACCCTGCCATAGATAGAACAATGATTTAGACTGAAGGCCAGCGCCTGAAGAGGTTCATCAGAAAGGAAAGTCACCTCAGAAATCCAAGCAACTGATTCCAGAGGTTGGTTTATACATTTGACCCAGAATTTCACAGATTAGAAAATAAGCTAGTTACTCTACGTCTGTCTGTGCTAATGATACTGAACGTTACAGAGACATAGGCGTAGAATCTGTTCCCTATCCCCCCACCCACCCTGCAGCCATTATTGGAAGCCATCTCCTTGCTTGAAAGGAGACTGCCAAATCTCTTCTGAAACTGAGGGCGATTTTTTTTTAAAAAAGGGTTATGATAGTATCTGCCCTTCAAAAAGTAGAAAGGAAAGAGTTCCACACTGGAGTGTCCAAACTTTTCTGTCCATCTAATAAAGTTCTTCAGAGCCTACCTAAATAAAAGTATTTGACCTATCATGGCATCCTCCAGATATTATTATTATTATTATTATTATTATTATTATTATTATTACTATTATTACTATAACATTTCTATGCCGCCCCTTGCCGAAGCCTCGGGGCGGCTTATATCACAATAAGATACATTGAAATACAATAGAACATAATAAATTACCAATAAATACAAAAATACAAAAAATACACTGAGATACAATAATATAAAATTAAAATTAACAGTATAAAATAAGTAAATAAAGAATATAGGAGGAGGAAAGAGAAGGGAGAAGATATGCTGGACCACCATCAGCATTGTCTCCAGGTGAGACTGGATTATAGGAATTGTGATCCAGTATATCCAGAGGCACCATGCTGGAAAAGCTGCCATATGAATGGTGTCGGAGCAGTGTCTGAAGGACTTCCTACTTCCATTGGAACTTGCCTATAAATTAACATTTTCTGCTAAAGTCAGAGCTTAGACAAGTTGCTCCTGTTGGCAGAGGCTTTTCAGTCATAGCACCCAAAATGTGAAAGATCCTCCCCAGGCATATTTGTTAAGTGCCTATGTTAATTATTTTTAAGTTGCAGAATACATGGCTCAGTATGACAGTATTTTGTTTTTAATTCCATTCTTATCTGTTGTTTGACTCAGTGTCGGATCACTTTTTCTATTGTCTCTGTTGTAATAGCGTTTTTTATTGTTTGCTGTAAAAACTCTTGAGAAACCCATGTGGGCAGAAAGACAGGTTGTATATGTTTTCAATTTAAAAAAAAACTTAAATCTTTGGAAGCGCACTTATAATTAAACAAAATAAGCAAGTGTGAAATTTGAAGAACTGGGTTTGGACAAACAATCTGCACTTTGTTTAAGCAGGCCCTGCAAGAATCTAATTGGCACAAGCTGATCTGGGAACCAAGAAAGCACTACCTTGCTTACTGAGGTCATCTACAAGGATGATTTCTTTGAGCAAGTCCTTTGGAGCTGTATCCAAGACACTATGCACTGTCCTCAAGAGAGTAGACCAGGCTTCATCATGGAAACAGATGATGACACTCGCTGTGGGCAGGTTTGCACCAAGTTCTTCCTGCAGGCACCTATGTAAAGGACAAGATGTATAAGCAGCAAGTTCCTTTTTATTAACTCATTGCTAAGCACAAGACTACATTGGGAGAGGGCTCAAGTTCCACGGCTTTCCTGGCTGCCCTGCCTGCTGTTCATGTCCCACTTCATTCTCCAGGATTGTATGATCTGGCTCTTGCCCAAGTGAGTATGGGATGTGGTTAGAGAGGCCACTTATGCATTTCCACCACAGACGGAATGCATCACCAAAAGACACAATGTTTGTGTAGATATATGAATGCTGATTTAGAAATAAGTCATATAATTCAAAGATAAATTCAATACCTCTCATCATACTGGGGAAAACAGACATGAGAACATAAGGAAAGCCAAGCTGGATCAGACCAATAGTCCATCCGGTCCAGCACTCCACTCCCATGGTTGCAAAGCTGTCCAGAGGAACCCACAAGCAGGATGGGTGCAAGACCTCCAACTGCCCAAGCTCCTCAGCAACTGGTGCATGCAGGCATGTAAAGGAGGTAGCACATAGCCAGCCTGGATAGTAGCCATATCCACTGGATTGAAGACGATACATGTTCACCCAATACCAATAGTGTAGAAAGATACAGGGATTAGATTACCCCTTGGTGAGATCTAGCAGGGCATATATTATATTCTCAAACTAGTTCTTTGGACCTGAGGCAGTGCGTACATGAGAAGTGTTGCGTGTACATCCCTGCTTTTAGAAACCCCATATCCTTATCTTTGCACTTAATGGATGCAGCGCTACTCAATGTTCCATGTGAATGGAAGGGGCTTCCTTCCATTTGGGACCATGTGAACTGACTTCTAGTTGCCTATGCATTTTATATTTATACTTCTACTTTTTAGAGATTTTTAAAAATTATCTGCACAGTCCTCTGTCAAGCTCAAGAAATTCCAGATTCTGCTTATTAAGAATGACAGCTCTTGTTCTTAATGGGCTCCTTTGTTTTAAGCTCTACTCCAATGAACAGTACATCTTCTTTCCAAAGCACTTTCTTTGCATACGCAGCCTTTTCTCGTGAATGCAATTTATATAATTTACGGGCAGTTGTGTCGTTTTCCTGGAGTAAGCGACATAATTAGAAGAAGCTGTGCAGTATGCGGAAGGCTCAAGAGAATTCTCTGTTTTGGATGAGCTGTTGGTTATGCCACTGTTTGGATGACAGCAATCTGTATACTGCACACATAACAAGCAAATTCCAGCAATTGGCTCCAGAGGTAAAGAAGCTCAAAGCAACGAAGGGAAGCATCTGCTCCAACAGCAGTCCACTTCCCCATAGCAGGTCATAGCACTTCCCCATAGCACTTCCCCATAGCATGGCCAGAAAATGAGCCATGATTTCTTTCCGCAAGCCTGCAGCACTTTACAACTGGAAGTGAAAATGGAGACAGGGATGCCTCCCAATGTGCATGAGCTGGAAAAAGATGGCTCGTGGTTTTTCTGTTAGATGACACAGTCCCTGTGATCAGGTGGCTGGTTACTATGGTGATTGATACTGGAGAGAGTGGGGGATTGCCTTATTAACACGTAGGAATTTGGGAGAAAGACTGCTCTGTTAGATTAGCTTTTCAATGCAATAAAATGCATATTGAAAACCATGCATAAGTTTCTAATCAGATCTTTGAAGAGTGCACAATTGCAAACATACAGTGGTGCACATTTTATGAATTCTGACATGTACTGCTGCCCAAAAGGACACCCACTCGTCCATAATTTACACAAATCCTCCTAGTCCTCACTGAGATGTCAGTTTCCAGCAGCATTTGAGTAGTCCTGATTCTGCACAGTGTTTCAAACTGTCTGGAACTTTTGTACATTATTTGACTGACCATGCACACTATTTGTGCTGCATGTTCTGCCAGTGGATTTCCTTTCCTCCACCACCAAAGGCAGCCCCCACACATCCTTGAAGCTTTGTGGGAAGATCGGTGTGCGCTCCAGAGCAGATGTGAGCCATGCGGGGAGCACTGTAGGAAGAGGGAAGGAGCCGTGGTCTCATTACACAAGCACAAGCCCCCTTGTTCAAGTGGATTTGGGCTTGTGTGAGGGACGGATCCAATCCATAATCTTCACAAAGTACCAAATCTATGCCAAGAATATGAAAAAATAGTTGTTTTTATGGAAACACTGATTTTGTGTCAAGTTGTGTCAATTCACACACATAGCGGTGCAGCTTAAGAAGTTGCTGTAGACAGAAGACCATTGGCCCACCTAGCTCTGTAGGGACTATTCTGTACATGGGGAACATCCAGATGTTTCACCTCAAAATGATTTTGGACTTAGCTGGCATAGCCAATCCTGAGTGAAATTGGGAATGCAGTCCATCAACTTCTGGTGGGTTGCATGTTCCCCATCCTTGGCCTATACTGACTGGCAATGGCTCTCCAGCTTCAGCACCCACCCTTTCCCACCTGTCTCTGAAGAAGCCGGCACTGAGCCTGGTGCCCTCTGCATGCAAAGTATACAGGGGCTCTGCCACTGAGCCAGAACACCCCTTAATTAGCTTTTGCAGTTTGCCTTTATTGCTGCAGCAGGGCAGGGCTTATAAGTACAAGCACACACTTCCTGAATCCTAAGCAAGAACCTCTGCAATGGATTGGCAGGCAGGGCAGGAGGAGGGTACACCATGCACCTGCTCTTAAGAAGTGTTTGGCAGCAAATCTCATGCAATTCCTATATCTGCCAGTAGAGGCCAGCACACACTTTATCAAAGAGGAAAATGCAGTACTGTACCAAGACTGAAAACTTGGCGTCTACCTGGTTAAAGAGTGCCACTGCTTCCACTAAGTAAAGTGAATGCAGCTGCTTTTGTGACAGCCTTTGAGCTTTCCCTAAGCACTGTGTGAACTGGTACACCTAGACTGCCAGCCTACCTCAATGTTAGAGAAGGAGACGGGCAGGCAGGCAAACAGGCAGACAAATAGGCAGACTGATAAAGAGAACTTACAGCGAGTCAGTGAGACAGACTCCACAGTTTAAATTTCATTTTTACAGATGACGTGACAACACGGACACTGTTTTCTTACAAGCTGCAGACAGTTCATTCTGGGTGACATTTGCTGCCGCAACTGCCAGTTCAAGCAAACACGCAAACAAAAAACAAACAAGAAGGATTCAGGTCCTTGCTTTGCAGGTGCAGGTTGTGAAGGATCTACTATTGTCTGAAGAAGTCCCATCTCAAGATAAAGGAGAGCAGGAGGACAAGTTCCAGAGAATACAGAGAAGTTCAGGATGTCTGGAGAGTTCAGATGTAATTAGGAAGTCTTACTTACAGAGGATGCCGTACCTCAGGCAGCTCCCTGTGCAGGGGGATTTGCTTGCTGAGCACTTCATTAAATCCGTACACTTCCAGGCCTCCTACAGCCAGCTCCTCTTCATCCATCTGTGCTCCATCCTCATGCAGAGGAAAAGACAGGAGTGGGAACAGGGAGCCTTGCTTCTGCTTGCTTTCCTTTTGCTGACTGCTTTGCTGTCTGACCATCCGGTATCCTTTTCTAACTTTGGTCTGGTTTCGCTTGGCTGTGGGTGATTCTATAGCCACCAGGAGCTCATCCTCCCTTAAGGAGATGGCAGGTGACAATCCCTCCACTGACAAATATTGCTGGCTGTCCTCTTGGATGTCTAAGATTTCTTGAGGATCTCCAAAACCTACCCGGTACCCTTCCTTAAAGTTGGACTTTGCTGGCTGGGATCTCCTTTCCTTGTTTTGATATTTGGCTGCTGGATTCAGCACCGTCACCATCAGCAGTAGAAAGGCCAGCATCAGCAACAAGACAAATTGCAGTCTCCGAGAGCCATGCCTGCATCGTTTCCTCAGCAGCATAATTTCAGCAACAAAGTACTGCAGATGGTCGTGTTAAAAACTGGACCCATATGTCTTCCATCGTGGTTCTCTGGTTTTGTTGCCATCAAGGACCCAAGCACAGATTTTCATTTCTTTTGTTCCACCACAACAGAAAATCCAATGAATAAAATCTCTATACTTTGTTATGAAGGAGATTTAAAAGAAGAAGGATCTCTTATTATTGTACAGAATTCCAGATCGTCTCTGCATATGGGTTAATGTAATTAATTGACCCAAAAACCCATTAAAAATACCTTATAATTTTGAGATAAATGTGGCAAACACACCCCAAATTCTTCATGGTTTTCTTCCAAATACTGCCTGCAATAATAAAAATAAATTCCAAATGTTGTCAGAGATGCTACAAGGAAGACTATCTCTTTAAGCAGTGTTGACTTCTTCCTCTCTTCACATGCTTCAAGTTCCCAAAGATCAGTTGATGCAAACTACTCAGCCTCTGACTTAGTTTCACACATAAGTATGCACTTTGCCAGACATAACACAGCAGTGTGTGTGTGTGTGTGTGTGTGTGTGTGTGTGTGTGTGTGTGTGTGTGAGAGAGAGAGAGAGAGAGAGAGAGAGAGAGAGACTGACTTTTTCTTGGTCCTAATGCCCTCAGTGTTTTTACCCTATCAAATCAAAATCTTGAGAGCATTTGAGGGAAGAATCTTGAAACTGAAAATAAATCAAGATAAACAGCTCATGATGTTGACTCAGAATTCCCTTCCTAAACAAGGGTCAATTGTAAAAAAACATGTTTTGCTCTAGAAGTTAAGAATGTTTTTCCTAAGATTTAACCAATCAAAGAAACATGGAAGCAAAGCAAACTATAAGAGGATTTTGTTCTGTATTTGTCTGAGATTATATTTATATTGTGCCCTTCATCAAAGGAGCCCAGGACACCAAACACATTTTTTCCTAAATGTTGCTTCTGTGAATTCTTCAGGCAGTGAAACATTGCCTATGGTAACCACCTAATTTACAGAAATGGGTTTAGTGGTTTGGATCCAGATTAAGGCATGTGCTACTGAGTTGGCTGAAAAGGAGTTTTCTGTCCCATCTTTTGCACAGTGGCTCTCCTAGCCCTTTGAGGATGCTACACAGAGGACTTGCAGAATGTAATAAGCGATGGTGTGAGAGAGAAGGAAATCCTGGGAAATTGGGCACTGTCACCTTTCAGGAACAGATCCTGGATCTGGCCCTAAGCTTTGGTCAAATGAACAACAAGAAGAAATCAAGCAACAAGGCCTTCTATGGAATTCTGAAGCACTAGTGAGAAATCTCTCTCTACAAAAAGGTAGCACCCAGCTTATAGTAAATTGGTATTAAAGGTCCCAAAGGATGTTGAGAATATCAGTTGAAAGAGACAAGCTTCCTTTAAGAGAAGGTATGTCCACCATTGCTCTGCAAGTTTATTGGCCAAGCCTCCCTGAAGTTGGAAGAAGAGGGGAATGGGCCTGCATATAAGGTAGGGCAGTTTTGCTCAACCTGATGTCCTCTAATTTCATTGGACTATAACTGAGAGCTTGACCAGCTGTGGTGTGCTGGGAATTGTAGTTCAAGAATCAGTTATCTAGCACCAGGTAAGGCAGGGCAGGATAACAGCTGCTGCTTTTATGCATGGGCTATTTTTGGTGGGTGTGTGGGTATATGACTGTATAAACTGATAAGACCAGTGGATCTCATGCTGCAGAAGATTGTCAGTGGTTGCTCATGTTCATTAAGAATATCAGTTGAAAGAGACAAGATGCTTTTAAGAGAAGGTGTGTCCATGGGGAAGGCATCCATACCTTTGTGTCCAGAAAGTGGTGCTGGGGGATTGTTGATCTGCACCATGGCAATTGCCATGAGGTTTTGCAGGGCTCCATTTTATCTCCTTTGCTCTTTAACATCTGCATGGAAGAGGGTATCAGGAAGTATGGGCTGAGATGTCATTATTATGAAGATGACGCTTAGCTCTGCCTCTTTTTTCATTTAAACTAGGTGATACAGTATTTGTTTCGGACCAATGCCTGAGCTTAATGTTGGACAAGATGAGGGTCAATAAACTGAGACTTTGTCCAGAAAAGATGGAGGTACTATTGGGGGTGAGGGTGGGGTAGATCATCTAACCAGTTAGGGGCATTTTGCACTCCCCCTAAAGGACAAGGTCCATAGTCTGGAGGTGCTCCTGGATCCAAAGTTATCCCTTGAGTTACTAGTGGTCTTGGTTGCCAGGAGCACCTTCCTTCAGCTGCAGTTTATTTATCAGCTGCAGCTTTATCTGGACAGACAGAGAATGTCACAGTCACCCATGTCTTGATAACCTTTTGGTTGGACTACTGTAAAGCGCTCTACATGAGACTGCCCTTGAAGACAGTCTGTAAACTTCAACTGATTCTGAACAGGGCAGTGTGTTTGTTAACAAGGTCCAGCTCACATGCCCATATCATGCCAATTCTTTGCCAATTTCATTGGCAACCAGCTGAGTCCTAGGCCCAATTAAAAATGCTTTTTTGACATATAAAGCTATAAATACCTGAAGGAACACCTACTCCCATATGTTCCTGCCTGACCACAAAGATCAACTTCAGAGGTCCTTCTCAGGGAACTGCCCCTCAAAGAGGTGAAGGGGAGTAGCAAACAGAAGGGCCTTCTTGGTAGTTGCACCCCATTTATGGAATATAATCCCCAGTGAATTAGGCCTGGCACTCCCAATGTGATCTTTCTGTCACCAGGGATAGAGATTTTTATTTACCTGAACTGCTGAATTAATATTTTATGAGGGCTGTTTTTTTCTCGGACGCATTGAGACATACTTCTAAGTAAACACATGCAGGATTGTGCTGCAAGGAACATTCATCATTCACAACAAAGCTGTAAACTGGAATTACCTTAAGATAAGGCTTGTAAAACTCCATCTTCCTTAAAGTGTGCCAAACACCTTTGATGGAATTGTTGAAGGTGTTGTAAAACTGTTGTAAACTGCACAGACAGCTTCAGCAATGAGGCAACATATAAACAAAATCAATAATAATGGTCATAATAGTAGTCGCATGCAGTGTAGTTTTTATCTGCTCAGCTGAGAAGAAACAAATCTGTAGGACCCATGTAGCTGATAATATGACTTCCATGGGTTCTAGGTGGCTACTGGCTATATAATGTAATTATATCCTCTTTCTTCCCATGGCACCATAATAAATATTTTCCAACACTGGGAGTATAATTTATTTGCTGTAGTTGCTGCTCTTTTGTGCATTTGACATAAGTTACCACTTTAGAACTTCAAAGGCATTTTCCTGTAGTGTGTTAATAATAAATTGGAACAGAATTGCTGAAAGTTATCAGAGCTTGATGTTCAGAACTCTCAATGACTCACAAGGAGTTTAGCACAGAGTGTTAGATTAAAAGGATGACTGTTGTCTCCCTGATGAAGGGAGAGCCTTATTATGTGTGGCAAGGATTTTATTTACCCATGTTTCACCTAATAATTCCTTCCGATGATGTTCACTTCTGAAATGAGCTAATTGTGCAGAATTAATCATATCATAACTGCTTTTATTTCCCACTGTAGATTTCTGGGTGATAAGAAGAGCCAGGATGGATCAGACCAATGGATCAGAAGAATCAAATTCAGCATTTTGTTCACACAGTGGCTGCCCACAGGATCCCTCAAGCAGGTAAGAGTGCAACAGCACCTTTCCAGTCATAGGTGGCCAGCCTCTGATACTGGAGGTAGCATGTAGAGCTCAGGACTAGGAGCTGTGGATAGCCTTCTCTTCCACAATATTTTCTAGCCCCTTGTAGACGTGTCCAAATTGGTGGCCATAACTACATCGTGAGAAAGTGAATTTCATAGTTTTATCTATTGTGTGAAAAAAAAATCCTTTCATCTGTCCTCAGTCTCCTACCAAAATGCTTCATAGATGACCCCACAGGCTAGTAATACGTGACTGGAAATGTCTCCCTCCATTTTCTCTACACCACGAATACTTTTGAACACCTCTGTAATGTCTCCCTCCTTCTCATTTTTCTAAGCCAAGCAGTTCCATTTGTTGTCATCTTTCCTCACAGGGGAGCTACTCTCACACCTGAATCATTTTAGTTGCCTTTTCTTACCCATTCTAACCTAAATTATTGTTTTTAAGCTGCAGTGACTAGAACTATACACAGTAATGCAGATTAGGTCACACCATAGATTTGTATATGGATAGTACGACCTTAGCAGATTTATTTTTAAATCCTTTCTTAATTATGCCCAACATGGAATTTTCCTTTTTCATAGTAGAAGCAGACTGTGTTGCCATTTTCATCAAGCTGTCTACCACAACTTCAAGATCTTTTTCTTGGTAAGTCACTGCTAGCTCAGATCCTGTTAGCAATTATATGCAATGTTGGAATTTTTTGCTTAAATCTGCATCACTTTACACTTGCTTTCTCTGAACTGCACCCATTTTGATGGCCATTCCAAAGTTTAGAAATAGTCCTTTGGAGTTTGACAGAATCCTCTTTTGTTTCACTGTAAGGATGGGCCCACTTCTCCCAAAATATTGTCTTGTAAGAAGATTACCTTGGAATCTGATCTGGAAGAAGAGGCAGGGTTGGGTTGGAATTCTTGCCAATTTCAACATAACAAAGAATGTAATTAGAAGTCTCTTGTCCAGATATTTTTGGAAGGATAAAGGAGGGCAGGGAAGACTGGCTCCTGACATGGTTGTGGTTATATGCCATCATGTTATCTCTGATTTATGGTGAATCTATGAATGCATCTCCTCCAAAATATCCTATCTTGACAGCCCTGCACAGATCTTGTAAATTCAAGAGGCTTCCTTTATGGAGTTGATCCATCTTATATTTGGTCTTCCTGTTCTTCTTCTGCTTTTGACTTTCCATAGTCTTGCCTTCTCATGATGTTCCCAAAGCATGACAGCTTTAAACAATATTTAAAATGCACGAATGTTCCTCCTGTCAGATTTCTTCAGTTTTCAGCTTTCACACCCACACACAGTGATTGCAAACACACTAGTGGGGGTGCTTTTGGCCTTGGTCTCCTGTGAAACTTGCTTGCACTTGGTGATATTTTCCAGTTCCTTCTTTGCTGCCCTTCAGGTCTCAGGCTTCTAATTTCTTGGCTACAGTCTCCACTTCAATTGATGACTAAGCCAAGGCATTCAAAATCTTTCACAATTTCATTTTTCATTGTTGACATTAAAGTTGTGTAATTCTGCTTTAGTTATGCTTTTTTAAATGTTCAGCTGCAGTCCTGCTTTTGCTCTTTCTTCTTTCACTTTAATCAGGAGTAATTTCAATTCATTGCTTTCTGCCAGTAATATGTATCATTTGAACATCTTAACTATTGATGTATCTTCCACCAATTTTCATTCCTGCTTTCACTGATCCAAATCTAACATTCCTTACAATATGTTCTGCATACAAACTGGACAGACAGGAAG